AAACATGAAAACCTATGCTAATCCACTGAACATTACCCAAAGGAGTTTTCCTGGAATTGTTCTCAAAGCCACATTCTGTCCACGGATGGTTAGGAGAGCTAAGCATAAGCATATACCAGCTGTTTATGTGAATGATGGGTAAAATGGGAAATTGTTTCAAATTAAGTATAATAAATGTTCACTTTGCCTAATTTCTTAGACATTTTGACTTTGCTTAAAATGAAATAACTTTAAAACTCAACGAATGCAACTTCCTGATTCATCTGAACAAAATTTGGCAAAGATCTATTGAGCAACGACTCGCTGTGGTACTTGATGTGCTAACACCGAGGAAAATAGAAGGGCCCTGCTCTCTGGGACTTCAGCACCTCATATTCGGTGCTGCTATGTGGGCGTGTTGAGGTCAGGGGCCAAGCGGGAGTCATGAGCCGGTCTGGGGGTGGAGGCAGACAGGAAAGTGACAGAAGGTATTATGGCAGAGTGACGAGTTCTGCTAGGAGATGAAGCTGAAGTGGGGTGAACTGGGGCAGAAACTAGTTTTTCTAGCTTTTCTGTCCAGAGACAGCATATTCAACACATGGGCTGAGAACCAGTGCCCAGTGTTGGGTTGTGCAGTTCTGTGATGCAGTAAAAATTGCTTTATTTCCAAAGCTATGCTTGGATTCAGGGTGATTTCAGAGGGGCCGAAGGAGTTCGAAGTGACTTCTTGCTTTAACTGTGGGAACTCTGATATTTTCAAATCAGTTAGGAAAGTTAACAAAAGAATCCCATATATATTGGAGTCATGGAATCCCAGAAAGGTAACTGCCATGACTCGTTAGATGGAGTAGAGGCGTCTTGCCTGAGAGAATGAGCTGATGAAGATAGGAAGCAATCACAGCACGGGAGTGATCGCAAGTCCCAGACGCTCCCAGCTTTATACACATTGACTCACCTCTGCGTATCACAGCCCTGTGGAGTAGCTTCTATCATTACTCTGTCTCCGAGAGGCCTTCTCAGGAAGGTCTCCTCCTCCCACACCTTTTCTCCTTTTCTGCATTTATCACCATCTAACACACTCTGCACTTTACTTATTCTTTTTTATGTATCTCTCTCTTTCAACAGAATGGACACTCCTTAAGGACAGGAATGTTTTTGCTTTGGTTTGGTTTACTGTACTAAGTCTCTGGCACTTAGGAGACAAAGTAGGGGCTCAATAAACATTGGCGAGTGAATGAACGATAGAAACTGACATAGAGAATAGTTAATAACTTGCCCTAAGTCAAATAGCCTTGCAGTGGTAGATTCTGGAAGCAATGGTGTGACGAATCGCGGTGAGGGCATTTTGATGAGAACCTGGGACTCAGAGATACGTAACAGAATTGAGGGTGGAAGGACTAGAGTACCATCTCAGTAGAAGAGACTAAGAACTATTGATTCATGTATTTATTTGCAAACTATCCAACGATGTTTACTGAGTACCGATTATGCACCAGATATTATTCCAGGCACTGGGAAAACAATGGTGGGGAAGGCAGAAAGGTCCTTGCACTCAGTAGGGAAGGGCAGGAGAGACAGACAATAGAAAAAGGAACACGTGGAGACCAGCAGTTAGCATAGTGACTATGTCGCTGGACTCCCATGTAGTTGACCATGGTTTGAATCCTGGACCCAGTGGCTTAAACTCATGCCGGGCGTGTGTGTGTGTGCGTGCCCAAGATCCTGAGAGGAGAATGGAGGAGAAGGGATTGCGGCATGGCCATCCCCCCACGGAGAGATTTCTCGCTTTTTGTCTCTCTGTCTCTCTCTGTCTGTCTGGTGAGCGCGCATGCCCGATAGCAAAAACCTCTACAAAAAAAAAAAAAAAAAGAAAGAAAGAAAGAAAGAAAAAGGAACACATGAACACACGCAGAATAAGTTCAGGGGATGATCGGTTCGGTTCGGGTACTAGAATAGAGTGATGTGATGGAGAGTAACTGGAGGAGGTAGCATCGCTAGATAGGTCTTCAGAGGGGGCCTCTGGAGCAGGTGATGGGTGAGCAGACATGCGGCGTAGGGTCCTGGGAGAAGATAACACCTAGAAGGGAAAGAAAGACTGTGAGGTAGAGGTGGGGTAAGGCCAGGGCAGGGCTTGGGGAATAGACTGAGACCCCAAAAGCGTCAGTGAGGATGGCAGCCCTGCACAGGAAAGAGAACCAGGAGAAAGGCCAGGATCATCTCTTGGACAATCTCTGGGCAGGGCCACAGCCAAGTGGCTAAAGAAATTGTTCAAAAAAGCACATCTAGTCTGAAACCAGGAGCCCAAACCAGAAAAGCACTGCTTCTGTAGGGGTTAGGTGATCTTTTGAGGGACAGAAGCAGCAGATGCTATAGCACATGGCAGGAATGACGGCCATTTCTTCTACTACAAGAGAAATCCATCAGTTCAAGTCCAAAAGTGCCTTACACTGAACCTTAAAACTGCAGTGTGGGGGCCAGCAAGTGGTGTGATGGTTAAAGCATTAGACTCTCACATGGCCCACCATGGTTCGAGCCCTGGACCCAGTGGCTTGAGAATCACACTGGCGCATGTGCATGCATGGCCAAAATCCCGAGAGGAGAATGGAAGAGAAGGGACTGTGGTGTGGCCATCCCCCCCGTCAGGAGGTGATTTCTCATTTTCCCTCTATCTGTGCTCTTCGATGAGCACATGTCCTATGACAAAAACCTCAAAACCAAACTGCAATGCGTTCCCCATAATTTGCATACCTACTGTGTGTTAGCTAGAACTAAGTGACTTCAGAGAACATCTCATACTCAGGGCTGTCCACCAGTCCAAACCTAAAAGTCCTATTTAGAGTGTTTGCAAAAAATGCAGACTAGAAATGACCGTTCATTATGTTGAAGGTGGACTCCAAATTCACATGGATGATGCAAGTGGTCCCCAGACAGGCCACGTCGTGAGAAATGTGGAGGAGGATCCACTAATGGAGTGCAGGGAGTCTGCACCTCTAGAAATAGAAGGAAAAAGATTGATGTTCACATATTTCCTTTTCTGGGGAGAGGGCCTGTATCATTAAAATGTTCTCAAAACTTGTTAAGCATCACTGATCTGGGCCTGTCCCTTGTCCTACTGACCAGGATACAGAGTGCAAGACTGAGTCCACAGCTGGAAACCACAGAATGGGGGCTCACTCCAGACTTGCTCTTTCTAAGTGCTTCATGTTCTTCTCTCTGTCCTGCTGACTATGGGGAGCAGGGAGAGAAGATGGAAGGGGTTTAAGCGCTTGGGGACAAAGCCATCAGGGGTCATTTGCCCCAATTCTGGCTCCAGTGGAATAGATCAGTAGAGTGAAGGATTAGAGTGATGAGTTTTCAGCGAAGGACCCAGGACTCACTTGTTTGGCTACCCCAGGCCCTGCCACCTGTGGAAGTCGGCCTTTAAGCAGGCCTCACAGTCAGGTAGAGGGCACGTGAGCACAGGGTAGTGATGGAGTGATGCTCCCCTGGTGACTTGCCTGACTGTACCTGTGCAGGTGGGCTCCTGGTCTGCATGCTGTTGTCCACTGATTCATTGCCTGGGGCTATGTGAGACCATGGCTCACCCTCCGTCAGTGTGCTCAGACACTTCCTCTTGGGCTCTCCTCCCATATCACTAAGCCCAGCAGACCTCCTTAAACTGGCCTTGAGTTTTGGGCCAAATCATTCGGATTCTGGCTCTGGATCACCAGCCTTTCTCGCCGTTCTCTTCAGAACTAACAACTCCCGACCTGGCCTTCTTCCTCTTTTCTGTACTCTTCCTCCTGTCCTAGAGATGGGCCACCTGGCCACATAATCCCTCTGCCCCTCCTGGATCCAGTTGGCCGGTGCAACCTGCTATTCAAGGGCTAAATTGATTCAGTGTCCAGCCCTCCTGCAAGGTCACCACGCTAGACAGTCTAACACCCCTTCTAATTGGTAGACCACCTGTCCACCTCTGTGCCCCAATCAGATGGTCTGACTCTTCTAGTCGCTCTCAACCCAGTTTCCTAATGCTTTACCATGTCCCTCTCTCCCTTCCTCTTCCCCTCCCCTCCACTTTCCTTCTCCTCTCTCTCCCCTTCCCATACACCCTTCTGCTCACCCTCCTCCCCTCCCTCTTATTTTTTCCTTCCTTCTCTTCCTCCTCATCTTCCTCCTTGTATCCTTGCCCCATGCTCCAGACTTTCCCCGGCTCTTCCTGGCATTGCTTTGCCTGACGGTATTCAGGATCCAAAAAAACCTCCCAGCCTTTTGTTGACTGATGCTACCTTTGTTGTGGCGCAGGTGTGTCTTGGAGGCAGTTGTCCAGGCAGTTGTCCACCGGGTCCTGCAGAACCTGCCTGGGCAGAGGAAAAAAGCTGCTCTGGAACTTTCCCAATATCCTCCTCAAATCTGTGACTGATAGCTTTGCCTTTAACAGCCAAGGAAACGAACTAGAGCTCAGGATATTTGCCCCAGGTCGCAAAGGAAATGAGAGGCGAGGGAGAAGTGAGCACAGCCCTCAGGCTGGCCGCTACCTGAGACAGCTGCACAGCTGCACAGCGCGGGGCACAGCCACTGTCTCGCACAGCCTGGATCATGACACTGGACACTGGCAGTTACTGGAAAGTTGTGTTAGACTGTCCTGTCGATTCTTCATCCTGGAAAGGAGCTACACAGTGGATTCCTTGTTGAGGATTAATCATGTTCTCTGTGGCCTGTGACTGAGGCTGTTTCTCACGTCCTGCCCCTGGTTTCGCTTGTTCCAAGGCTTTCATCTGGAGGGCGGGATGTTCTCCTTACCTCCTCCCCTCCCTCCCCAACCACACTCAGGACCAATGAAAGCAAAGTACCTCATCCACCCGGTGACTAAGGACTGGCAGTATTTAAGAGGTAGCAGGAA